AACCCAAGGGGCTCTGGAGGTGTCTCCTGGCTACCAGAGCCTGCTGGGCTGCGTGCGGGCTGGACCGGGCAGTCCTGAACCAGTGAACGCCCAACTTCCTTGGCCTTCAGCTGAGAGCACACGAAGGCTTTCTGAGAGTGGCCCCAGCAGGATTGGTTCCCAGTTGCCTACAGTAGCCATCCGTGCGTGCTCCCTGGCACTGCACTCTCATGGGGCCTCCTGGGATGGTCTCCCTAATCAACGACAAATCCTGGTCCGGGAGCTACTTCTATTGTGGGTCGAGGGGAAACCAAGCCGTCAGCAGACAATAAAAAGTTGTCAGACCAACAGCACGTCTAGGCTCAGTATTTGCTCTCCAGCCACACGGTGAAATTTAAAGCGATGGCAGTCTAATTGGTAATCTGGTTAATTACACTGGGCCCCATTCCTGCCATTCACACCCCCACACCCATACGCCTGCAATATTATTTGACCACTAATGAACTTCCAAACGTTTTAAAATACGACATGTTTGATCCCTAGTTTCATCCTTTTTCACTTCATATTTTTGTGTTTTTTATTACAAGCAATACATGTTACACGTAAGTAATTTATAAATATTGGTATGTTGGAGGAATATGCTTACTTTTCCCTCAGATAAGTGTGTGATCAGTAGGATTGAAGATCTCTTGCTCTACAGTACTTCTCTTTTTAGCTGTTAGGAAAAGATAGGAAAATTCTGTTACCTTCCCTGTCAAGCTCTGGGTGTATGTGTTACATGCGTATACAAAAAACTTAGCAATTCTTAGCAGAATTCTATCCTTAGAATATGATAGTTTCCATTTCTCCTTTATATAAATGAAGTATTAACTTAATGGACTGTTATTCACAGATTTATAACTTATTCTTCAGGAACATGATTAAAAAATAATGAACTTTTATATTAACTTAAATTATCAATTATATATTAATGTGTCAGACCAAAGACTTAGTTATCTTAAAAAGATTTGTTATCTGACATGTTGGAAGGAATTAAGAACCCTGGTTAATAAAAAATTCTTTTAAACTAAAAGTTATACCAATGGGATTTCTTGAACAGTACAGAAAATTTAATACTTATAAAAAGAATGAGGCTGACAGGGGAAGAAGGTACACAGATAGCAGATACTGGGGTGCTGGTCAGAACCAGAAGAATAATGGGAGTGAAGGATGACAAATCCTACAGTATTTATTCCATTTGCCGGTAAAAACAAGGGTGAACTTCTCAGGATCTTTGTGAGACTCCAGTAAAAGAAAACTGCATATGAAAGGTATTGCAGACTTTCATCTGATAAATGCTACACAAAATTAAGGTAGTGTTTACCTTCACGCTTCCCTTGTGTAAGGTTTTCAGCTTTCAGGTATTAAATGTTGTATTATTAATACCATTCCAAAACATTTTAGGCAGACTACTCTGCTGTATGGATTATCCAAGAATGAAGTGAAATAGACACTTTCAGATGTAAAACAAAAACTGAGAATTTACCACTACACTAAAGGAATTCACTAAAGGAATTAAAAAAAAATTTTTTTAACATTTATTTATTTTTGAGAGACTGAGAGAGACAGAATGTGAGCAGGGGAGGGATAGAGAGAGAGGGAGACACAGAATCTGAAGCAGGCTCCGGGCTCTGAGCTGTCAGCACGGAGCCTGACTTGGGGCTTGAATTCACGAACCACGAGATCATGACTTGAACCAAAGTCGGGCGCTTTACCGACTTAGTCACCCACCTGCCCCCTAAAGGAATTTCTAAAAGATAAACTTTAAGGAAGGGAAATATTATCACAGGTCTGAGATGTAAAGAGTAACAGCAGAGAACATAGCAAGCACTTGAGCAAATCTAAATAAATACTGATAGTGTAAACAATGTCATTTGTGGGGGGAAGGGAACTATGTAAAGTCAAATGTCGGGGTTTCCTGTTTAGTGTAATGAATGTAAAGTAGGTAATTGAAATTGTATCAGTCTAAATACCTGGTATTATTTTATGTTTTGAGGATTTTTTTTTCTTTTTCTTTTTTTTCAAGGGTGAGAGCTTGAGCAGGGGAGGGGCACAGGGAGAGAATCCCAAGCAGTCTCCAGGCCCAGTGTGGAGCTCCATGCAAGGTTCATTTGCACCGTGAGGTCATGACCTGAGCTGAAACTAAGACTTTCACACTCAACGGACTGAGCCACCCAGGAGCCCCTAAGGGATTTTGTTTTCAACTTAAGTTAAATTCACATTGTGTCCCTCAACTAATTACCTTTTATGAAAACGGGACACTCCTGCAGATTCTACTGACCTTCAAAAGATAAGTTATTAGGAATTATTTCATGCTCAAGCTTTTCGAAAAGTGGTAAAATGGGCAAATTAGTAGAAAAATACAGCTTATTAAAGTCTGCATAAGGAGACATTTTAAAAGCCTCAAGAGTCTATCACTATTAAACAATTGGATCAGAAATTTAAGATGTAAGGAAACTCCAGGCTTTGATAGTTTCTCCAATGAGTTTTATCAAGCATTTGAAGGAAGAATGGTGTCAATTTTCTTTGAACTCTTACAGAGAATAATAGAAAAAAGAGGGTCAGATTCCAGTTCATTTAATCAGGCTACCAACACTTTGATGCAAAACTGGGCAGAGACGTATGAGAGGGAAATTACAAGCCCTTCTTACTGATGGACATATATGCAAAAATACTGAACACAATCAACAATCCAATGAGATATAAATAGGATACTACATGACCAAGTTGGATTTATCCCAAGAACACAAGATGGGTTTAGCATTTGAAAATCAATATAATTCACCATACAAACTGGATTAAAGGGAAAAAATAAGATCATATCAAACAATGTAGAAGAAGTATTTGATAGGATTCAGTATCTTCATGATAATAAATGTCAATTTCACACAGATATAAAAAATAGTATATCAGTAGACACAGAAAAACTTTTAACGTATCTTTTCATCATATTGATACCATAGAAGATAATTTTCATTGAGCTGATAAAGGTGTCTACAAGAAATCCCACAGTGAACATTACTAATAGTGAAATAAAAGCATTCCCTTTAAAATCAACAAAACAAGGGGCTCAGTCAGCTTGATTACTGCTCAGGTCATGATCTCACGGGGTTCCTGAGTTCGAGCCCCAAGTC